GCCACTAAGGGGCGACGAGGCGAGAGCTCAATGAGGTGCGGCATTCACAGTCCAGTGGATGGACAAGGCGGACAACATTGTGCGTGCCACTAGGGTATATCGCCAACCTCCCCCCCTTGAAAGGGACCATCTGCGGTTCCTCGAGTACCACGAGGGGCCGCGCAATGTACATGAATATTGTCAGCACGGGCGGGTTAGACATCGCAGTCGTAACGTGGCGTCACTGCTGCGTTCCAACGTGACCAATCGTCGCGCGGCGGCTCAACCCGCAGGTGTGCGTGCGGCAACGTCTTCTGCCAAAGCCGTTGTCCGTCGTGCCGGCGCTGGAACACGTTCAATGGCGAAGTCCAGGGGGGGGGATCGCGATCGTGCGGGTTCTGCGGCTGCAAGTTTCACGAGGCGTTTTGCCCCGGGTGCAGCAGGTGGGGAAACGAAGAAGTACTGCTGTCCAAATTTTCAATATCAAGGACATCGGGAGGCTTGTGATCAGACACCGCAGTATCCACGGCTGGAAACCTGCGACCCGGCGGCAGTACGGCGTGATAATTACAGCGTACCTTGCTGGGTGCACTCCCACTAGGCACGTGGGCACCTCCCCAATCAAAACTGATGCATCCCCGAACCTTTGTCGCTCACAGGTGAAAAACTCACATCTCGTACGTGCTGCGGCTGTCTAACGCCGTTTGCCGACACCCGTGTGCCACACCAAACACGCCATTCGGCCGCTGTTTGTTTTCGTCCTATCTCGCTGACGAAGCTGGGGTGTCTGGGAGGGGAAGAAGGGCTGCAGATCGCTATCCTGCGACTGCACCGCTGTGTTCTACGAGATATCGTGCCAATCGTGTGGCATGTGGGGCAGGTGTGTCGGTGTACGAGTAGGAGTTCTCTTCCAATTGGTTCTGGACAGCAGGTAGACTACGCCTTTCTTGGCATGTTTGGAGGAAACCGACGGGGTCACGGAAGAGGAAGGTCATGATTTGCTGGGTTATTCTATTTTCTGGCAGTCTACTCTTCCTTCCTTTTGTCGTGCTTTCATTTCTGACGCGTCGAAGGGTTCAGCAGCCTCTCACTTAGGAGGAGTCGATCGCCAAGTCAAATTGATGCGAAAAACAGTTCGCGTGACAACTGTACGCCCAGACCCGAGGGTCCATCGAAACGTCAGGAAAGTGCGGGATTGCAAAATATTCTGCCCTGTGCCAAGACACGCCAGATGCACTGCGGAGGAAGTGGTAGTGGATACCTTGAGCAACCAAGCTTCCGTGGAAGGAAAACCATGTTGGTCCCACCAGACCGGCACGGCATTGTCGGAGACTATGGGCGTGGCGCGGAATACACATAAAAATGGCAGGGAGAGACTTGAGCTTATTATTCGAAGAGGCTCGAAATTGTCGAGACGAACCCACCTGTCGTTCTTGGGAGGGACGAAGATGCACGTTGTATATTCCACCACGCTGTCAGCAACATTGTTTCCCAATGCTACACCGTCGTAAGTTGTTGGGGAGTATCCCACCCACGCAGTTCCGCCTGAGGGCGTAGATGCTAAACTACGTTGTCACGACGTAAACAAACACATTGCAATGAAACGAATGCTGTTCTGAGTTTCGATGGTAGAGAAGAACGAGGGCTTAAGGAGATAGAAGACTCAACATTGCGAGAACACGCCTGAATTACATTTTTTTGCACTTCAGTGTATCTCGAAAAAGCGTTGGCATGTGTCTCGCCCTCCAGACCAATTACATGCTCTTCCTCCTCAACCGCCTCGCGAACCGTTACTTCGATAACACCACAGCGTCAAGGGCCGTCACGCCGACGCAAACAACTCTCTCTCCTGCGGAAACTGCGGCTTGGAGTCCCACGAGGCGTTCTGCCCGTCCTGCCGCCAGTGGGACTCCTACGCCGGCGCCAAGGGGGAGTCCACCCTGGTCTGCAAAAGCCCGCGGTGCCGCGTCCGGCCGGCCGATGGCAAGAAGACGGCCGCAGCGATGGCGGCGGCGGCGGCGGCGGCGGTGACATCGACAACGAAGTTCTTCCAGGTCTACTGCGAGGTGAGTGGGCCCGGTGACTCGTCTTGGTCGACGGACGGACGTTGCTAGAGAATGCTCAAGAGGGGTTGCTTTGTCGCGTGCGGCATGTGTGAGAGCGGTTGCTCCCGGTAGTTGGATTTCCCGCATCCCATCAGCCGAACTAGCCTTCCTGATACCATGACGCACTGTGAGTTGGGGGCGTCGGAACCTCTCTGACAGCCAACGCCATATTTGCTGCCTCATTGAATGCGGCCATTTGTCGACAGGAACACCGGTGGGAAAAGCTCCGAAATTTGCTCGTCTTCTCCGTTACGGTCCCCTCTACACTTCCCTGATCTTCACCTTCAGCCCATATGATCTCCTCATTTTCGGGCCTTTTTTTTTCCGTCGTCTCGTTACTCGCCGTAGCCCCATGATACACCTTTTCACGAACTCTGTTTTTCCATTTTGACCATAGCGTTGTGCTTGCTGGAGAAGCGTGTCGGGGGATAAGACTGCAATAGGCTCGGCAAACATCCGCTGCGAGGGGTGCAAGACAGACATCTGCGGTACCACGTGCCCCGCGTGCGGGAACTGGGACCAGCTCCCACGACAGCAGAACGTCGGCACCGGGACGACGCGCGTTAGCGACAAGAAAGCCGGGAATGAACGAAGACTTGACCGTCATCGTGACGCCAAACAGGATGATAATGACGACGGAAGTTTGTCGCGGATAAAAACGCATCAGTGCACGTCCTGCGGACACGAGCCCCCGCCGTTTCCCGACCAGGGAGGACAAGCGGCGGAGGCATGCTCGAGCGAGCGTGCCCGTGAGGGCGATGAAGCCGCGACGCAAGCACCGGTGGCGGTGGCGGCGACGGCGACGGCGGCGGTGTCGGCAAGAGCAGCAGCAGCAGCAGCAGCAGCAGCGGCAGCAGCAGCAGCGCCGAAAAGTCTGGCGGTGTCACGAGAAGTGGAAAACGACAAGTCTGCCCTGACCACAACAACTACAGGGGGGAGTAAGCAACCCCCCGCTGCGACGGAGGTGGGGACGGTGCTGGAGCAGCGACGATGTACGCGTGACGATCCACCAGCCGTGCGGCGGAAAGTACAGGACTCGCCGCCATCATTCCCTGTCACCACGGCAATCAATATGGGGGGGGGAGCTCCCCCGCAGGCGCCCACCCCGGCGCCGATTCACGGCATGAGCACAAAACCTCCGCCGCACTGCAACAGCCCTCGGCGGGAACATGTCGCGGAAGACACTGTTCTGCCAGCTAGCAGTCTCACAAACAGCGACACGGCAGCAGTGAGCGCCACGAGCGCTCAACTCAACAAAGGCGATGGTGAAGAGGGTAGCAGCAGTCTCGCCGACAACGACGCCGGGCACGGCATCGCTGACAGTGGTCTCGAGGCGCAAGCGGACGGGCAACCTGTGAATAACGATGACGCGCTCCGTCCCGCTGCACCAGTGTCTGCGTTTCCCGCTCAGCCACCGCTACGGTCATTGAGGAAAGAGGCGCGCCGTCCGTTCGGTCGGTGTCGTCCTGCGCCGCCGTTTTCGTCGGGGGCAGCCATGAGGCAAGGAGCGGGAGCGGCGGGAGCGGCAGAGGCAGCGATACAAGTGACCACCAAGGATGGATGCCAAAGAATGCCTCCGCCTTCTACTGACGATGGAGAAAAACTATCGGGACCTATCGCACCGCACGACGACGGCCGTGAGGTTGCGTTCCGACGAACTGGGCGAAGTCGTCGGGCATCAGACCGAAACGACGTGATCCAACGTGGCGCCAGAAGAAGAAGAAGCTCGAGACAGAGACAGAAGCGCCTTGGGCTTTCCCCGAACCCTTGTGCGAAACTGGCGGAAGCTACGACGGAATCCTCGACATCTGTGGTGATGTCCGAAGAAACAGCCGTGGTGGAAAAAACCGGCGACGCACCGGCATCAACCAAAATGGGCGTCCGGAGCGCTCGCTACACGTCGTCTACCACCTCATCCTCCCCTACCAGTGCAACCTTCACCGCCGTCCCCCGCGAGAGCAGCCCGCCGCCCCCTCCAGGCATACGAATAGGCAAAAGCGACGAAAACGAAGGAGATAGAGACGGTCCGGGCACAAGACGTGGCGAAGGACAAGGGCAGGTGATGGTCCACCTGGCGTTTTGCTCCCGATGTGAAGAGTACCAGAGCTGGCGGGCGCCGTGGAGGAGCGGCGGCAACTGCTGGCGCGGATGGAAGGAGGGTGCGAACGGCGGTGGTGTTCGAAGACACTGCACGGAGTGTGGGGATTTATTCGCCAATGTCAGCTACTACCCGGCGCGGTAATTCGCGATTGGTTTATCGGCTCAAAGAGCCACAATTGTGGCATTTGGCTTCGTCTCCGAGAGGGTGGGTTTGCAGCGAAGGGCTTTTAATTGCACAGTCAGGAGTCTACGACGTGCATCGTCTTTTCTGTGCCGCCGACAGCCGCAAATCCTAGCCGGTGTTTTGAGAAGGGGATAACGTGTTCACAAAGTTCCTTCCCTTTCAGTGCTTCTATCTGATCACATAGCGGTCGGAGTTGGTATCCCCCGAGAAGCCGTACCCCTGTGTGTAGAGGCCTCCATCGTCCTCCCGGTGCCCTGCGCTTGGCCCAAGTGGCGCGACAAGTTTAGGCGGTTTCGCTCGCGAGCAAAGGTGTAGCACAGCACACCCGCTTGCGGTGTAGTCTCAGTGTGCCAGCCCTTTCCCATTTTATCCGCGAGCAAATGTATACCACAGCAGACGCGCTTGCCGCGTAGTCTCTCTTGTGTCAGCTGTTCCCCGTTCGAGCGAAGGTGCCATCGGGAATGCGGGGCTGTACGACAGGAAGAGCGTCCGGTAGTACGACCCGGCGTTGTCGACCGGTGCAGACTTGTCGTTTGGTGCTGTAGCGACTCCGAGGTTGTAGTTGGTTCGTGGCTGTTGCACAAGGTGGCGCTACCTTTCACGAGCAATCTACACGATGGGTAGGAGAGAACAGACCCATTCCAGCGCTTTAACTGCGTATTGAGAGACTAGAGAGTCGGGGGTTCTTCACGCGAGACTCTTCAACTTCTGTCGGAACGGTGCTTATGTATTAGTGGACACCGAGTTGTGTGGGGGGGGTTGTCCGCCCCATCTATTCTGGCGCCAGTTCACACACCTTTCGATGCCCTCCCCGACGTGTCAGAACGGGACAAATGCGCGATCCGACCCTCACTCCCGTTCAACACCCCCGCAGTACCCGGGGGTTGCAGTAGCCTCCGCCTTTTAAACCCTAACCTTACCTCAAGCTAAAAAATGGGCCCAAGATGGGCAACGCCCGCCCACGCGCGTGCCCTGCAACCGCAGCGAGCGCTGACGATATCCACCCGTAACGGAAAGAAAGAACAAAAAATAACAGCGACTGCTTCCCCACAGCATGAATGGTATTCCCTTGGGAACAACGGCGACGATGAAGCATCTCCCAATGAACAACGGCGTTCCCTTTCGACACGAAAACGAACCGCCTTTCGCCATTCCCTGGAGCAAAACGACAAGCTGTCTTCTGAAAAGGTCTTCCTCCTCACTGGAACTATCTTTTGTCGACGAAACACGAATGAGCAAAAGAGACCGGACACAAGGCGCGGCAACCTCCACACTTCGCATTCCATAACGACAGCAACATGGAGGAAACACCGCTATATTTACGCCTACATCCCGACCAATGGTTATACTTCCGTCAGGTCTCGGATCGGCTGCTTGGTGTTCAAGCCCTTCGGGTCCTTGGGGTCCCACGTCTCCATGCTCTTCTGCTTGCTGAATCGTCCCCCCTTGTCAGACAGCTCATGCTGCGGGTGCCCCGGCTGCTTGTAGTACCTGAAGCGGAGGCCACACATGCACGATGTAAAAAAGAGAAAACGTGCCGCAGGTTCATATAGACACACAAACGTTGTTATATGGTACCCTTTTTCTCTACGGTCTACTGAGGTCTCGCCGAGCGGTGAAAAGAAAATGTGATATTTGATTGATAATTTTCAGTCGGAAGACCCCAACCACGCACATACCACATACACTTCTCTATACCCTTTTGAAAACAGTCCGCTACAAGAAAGTACCAAACGCTTCACTGCTGGCGAGGCGCGAGTGTTGCAATTTCAACTCCTCTGAAGCGACAAAGTGCCGCCACAGGTAGGCGCGTGGGCCGGGGGGGGGGGGGTNGGGGGGGGGGGGGGGGGGGGGGGGGGGGGGGGGGGGGGGGGGGGGGGGGGGGGGGGGGGGGTCGAGAAGAGGAGTCCCTTCGTGCAACAACGGTTCCACGATACCTACCCATCAAAGAGAGAAAGACAGATCAATGGTACAACCGCGATTCGAGATGCGAACGGAGCTGGTATATATCATTGTGTGCAAGGTAACAGTGGCCTGTGACGGTTTGTCTGTGACCTTATTACATAAAGCCGAAATCAAGCCATTAGCTTCCATTAGACCAGTCAGCCGCCGACAAAGCAGTCGAATGGTTTGATTTCGGCTTCCAGAAAGGTCAGTCGTAGGGTTCGCATACCCTGACACTTGCACGTAGGGTGAATAACGGTTTCATTTCGACTTCAAACAAGACCAACTTAACTCTCAGAGATGACGTCAGTACCACCAGACACTGAGGGCCGTTATAGCCGAACCTCCAGCAGGAGAGGACAACACAAAAATCGCCGTCGTGACCGACCCAACCGCCACCAACACACGGAGCGCGTCTCACATGTCGGGTTCCCCGGGCTCCTGCCAGATGTTGCCCATTCCGGCACCCCGCGGCCTCCACGTGGATCGGTTGACGCCGTCGACCCGCCCGGGCGCGACGAAGTCGTTGTGCGGCATGTGCTGCCCGACGGCGATTGCGATGGGCTTTACCTCCGGAAGCTGCGAAAAAGAAACAGAGCCGTTGCGGTGTAATGCGAAGGCACACAAGAACCATTTTAGGGCTGCCTACGCAAAGACAGTAAGGTTCGTACTATGAAGGACCAGGGAGAGAGCACACAGAACGTAACCCTAACCCTTAACCCCCACCCTAGCCGATTCTACACGTTTGTTTGCATACTTGAAAAACCCGCGTAAACTTGTGAAACATTGTTTCCAAGTATCCATACAAACACAGCAAGACGCAACACTACCCGGTTGAGATAAAAACTTAAGCGTTGACGTCATTTTCTAGAGCGGGAAGTGACGTGGCACGGGTGGGGGAGAATTGTGCGCTTCAACGGGCTTTGGGTGGCGTTTCACCTCGTCCGTGGCAAAAAATTGCTGCAATACGCTCACGATTTCATGCATGTCCTCTCTGGTAAGCGAACCGAGCTCACAACAGCAGTAGTTGGTCGATTTTTCACCACAGCTGCAGCGCACTTTGGATTGCCAGGCATACGCAATGGCGGGAGCGCCCTGGGAAAGTAAACCACATAGTACTCGTGATACGACAAGAGCACGGTAAAGTCGTGCCAGTACAAGACGTGTTTCAAGGACATACTGTATCAAAGGATACGCAGAAAACGACGAGGTAGGCCATCTAGGGCTAGCGCACGGCGGCCGTAGCGCAAGGGGTTGCCAGCATCACACTGCTGTCAGAAACCAAATACACACGTCGATAGGGGATGCCAGTTCTCTCAACGCTCTTTGCACGGTAGGCTTGCCAACGGGTGCCTATTTATTCCTCCGCAGAGTCTCCCTGGCCTCCCCAAAACTGAGCGAAAGCGCCCAACACACGATTTACTGTAGGCACCGCACCTCTGCCCCGGCGGAGGGGGTGTGGTCGCTCATGTGGTGCAGCCACGGGTGCCACGAGGCCGTGACCGAGCTGCTGTCGTAGTTGTGGATGTCGGCGTACTCTACCCATCTGTGTTGGCCTGAAAACGAACAAAATGCGAGGACGAGGACGAGGACGAGGACAGACGACATCCACGAACCCAACGAAGGTTTTCGAACGTGCCGATACAGACACGACTACGAGGTCCCGTCGGCATCGCTCTTCGCACGCGGAAAGAGGGCCGACAGCAGTTGGCGGTTGCGTTGGCTGCATGTGCCGAAATGAAAAACGTAATGTGTACAAGGAAACGAATGGGAGTTCGTGCTTTTCATCATTCAGATGTTTCTCGCCATTCCTTTTGAAATCGAAGAAGGCGGAAAAAATGTGGGACCCCCCGCCATGCTAAGTCTCTCCTCCGAATTGGCCGCCACTTTTCTGGCCGTATCCGATTGGGTCCAAGGGCGGTTTCATGGTCGTGTTCTAAGACAACGCAAAGGGATGCTCATCGCGGTCCCCAGACACGTCAGCAAGAAATCTCCACTCGCCGTAAGGGTATTCCTTGTTCTCGTAGTACTTGTTTCCGTGCGCATCCTCCCCTTTGAAGTCTCCGAACTTAACGTCCCCGACCTTTCGTCGCAGCATTGCGGCAATGGTGGTGGCGGCGGCGGCGGTGGCGGGAGGGAAGCGTGTTTTCCGGACGGGGGTGCCGTAACAACAGCCCGCCCAGTGAGAAGGTGTGCGGTGACAGATGGCGAAAACCAGCATCTACGGCCGCCGCAGCAACGTGGGCATTGGACCATGTGATTGGTACGACCCTTAGCTTGAGGCAAAAATAAACAAAGGTACACCATGTTGTATTTATACGGAAGATACATGTCTGGCACCGCTGCGTCTTCGGGCCATTGCGACAATCGAGTGGCCGCATTGCGGTCGGGTCAGTTTTAGACTGCACGTGATGTATTTAGTTTCATCTATATTCCAGTTACATACTCCCCAAAACTGAAAACATGAAAATCCCTGAACCTGAACAACAATCAATTTAGCATTGTGACCATGGCCGCCCTACACACGTTCGTTTAGGTTGCTTGCGAAATCAACGAGACTTGTTGCTTGGCAATTGTTGCCCAGGGTTTCGAACTAAGCCAAGGCCTGAAGACAGACGCCGACAGCAGTATTATACTTTGGATGTGCTCAACTCAACGAATCAACTCGAGTAACTGGTGGGAACGGTGTTGCTGCTGCTCTCGCGGGGTGCCGAATAATGAAAAATGCACCTTTTGCGGGCGAACAGCAGTAGAAGCGAATGAGACACCACAAACTAGTCGTGTAGACCAATGTTCCTCCGACTATCGCTATCAATAAACCGAGTTGTGTCAGCCCCGACCGCCTCTGCCTTCTCGAGAGAGTTGCGGCGATACGACTGTCGGTGAGAGCCTACAGTACGGTAGTAGAAAAGGTGTCGACCGCGAGACACACGGATATGCCCACAAACAGATTGCATTATTTCCTCGTGTAAACCATCAGCGCCCTGACGACTCAGGTATGCAGTCGCAGCCGACCACGACAAAGCTACACAGGTCGCGATGGTGACAGACTCTCTGGCGTTAGGTTGGTATATACACCGACTCGAATGGGACCATGATGGCATGCAAGCGAGGGCTGCTCGAATCCTCCCGCCGCCGGCTACACAAAAAGACAGCGAGAGACGGACTTGACCACCAGCAACGTACACCAAAATGGAGAGCCACGGAATGCCCGGTATTACAACGACAGTACCAAGGCAATGAGAGAGATGCTCTCACACCGGTGACATCGAGTGTACGCACTCCTCCTCTCTCCTACGATGCCTCTGCTATACATCACGTCCTTTTGCTGGACACCCTCCTGCTTTCGCGTTGACGTATGTACACGAACCATCACGCACCGTGTACATCTTGGTAAGCGCCGCCCTCAAGCCGAACTGCCTGTACGCCTGCATGTACTTCGCCACGACCGATACCACCATGGTTGCGCTGTCCTTGCTCCTCCTCTCTCCACAAAGGTGGCACTGCTCTGTGTTTGCAATGTGCTCACCATCCTGCGTGTTCTTGGGCCGGGGGACGCAGATTGTATAGAGTTGGTATGCCGTGATCTCCACAATCGAATTCGCGTTGCCTCTGGACCATACAAAGAGATGCACCCGCGGACTTGCTGCAGTCTAGTGTTGTCCAGCGACAGCAGGCCGAGACAAAGGGACGTAACCACACGTGCGTGGGGAGCAGCACCTCGAATATTCAACGGACGCAAACGTACACGCCGGAGGAGGAGAGTTTGAGGCGCCGCCGCGGCCCGACGACGGCTAAACATCACATGGCAAATGGAAGGAGAGACTCCCGCCGCCGCGTAGCGTGCAGCTGGCGAAGGGCGGTAGCGGTAACGGCGGCCGGCGTCCTGGCGCTCGGACGAAGGGGTGCAGACGCAGGTAGGCCACTGCTTGTTGCGGTCCAAGCCTGCCTCTGCAATCCATGATTTTGACCGCAGAGCAGACAAAAGTGGCTCTTTTCAATTCCGAAAGGGAAAAAGACCGGTGCGCAGGATGTACATAGCATTTTGCGCCTTCGTTGTGTTTCCTCATGAGGGTGTATACGTGTGTTTGTGTTTTCGTCCCTATTTATTGTGGCGACAGTACCCCCATTTTTCGTGGTGAGACGTGTACTACACTTTTCAGCGTATGTAGAGTACCACACTTTTCAGTGTATTTTTCGCACAACTAGAGTCTACAACCGTCCAGGGTCACACAGCAGTAGGGGGTAAACACCAGGGCTTTTTTCTTCTTTTTATTTATTTTCGTGCTGAATTTTATTTTTATCGCGAGAAGGGTCTATTATAGCCGTCCCTTTCCCTCGTCAACGGTGCTAATGTCGAAGTTTGGTACTCACGAGAGCTTTTTAGCCATATTTCGCTTTCACCCGCAACTTTCTTAAATTTTCCACCCCATGGGGATTCGAACTCACGACCTGCGACCAGCGGATTACGAGGATACCACTAGACCACCGGGGCGACCGGTCCTGTGTACAGGGCGGATGACTTGTCGTGGTCTGTTGTTGGTGCTCTGGCGTCGTTGCCGCGCTGGCCGTGTTCCTTTTTGGCGGTTTGTGTCCGCCTCCGTAGTGGCACATTGCGCAAGCACCGGGGTAGAACTCTGCGGACGTACATATACGTAGAAGCCAAGTAAAATCGCGCCGATGTTGTCGCTCACAAGGAGGAGACTCTCCAGCCGGTTACCGGCGGTGGCATACCAATGTTTTGACAGCTCTCGTGAGATAGCCCGAGATTCACGGGAAAGTATAGTATACTACTGCTGTATCCAATGGCACCGACAACGGGATATCATCAGGTGGGGTAGGTCCAGGCAGGTTGGTTGGTTGGTCGGGGAGCCAGCCCTACAGCTTCCTCCAAGGAACAACGAAGATACACCTCTTCGAAAAAAGCACGGAACATACCATTTTGCCGACTCCGTGTTGTACGACGAAGGCGAACGTATACCCCACCGTCAGTTGTCCTTGAATCGTCTGCGATCTCGGTTGTACCCGTGTCCTTCAGCCCACAGGGAGGATGTCTGCTGACCAATCAGTGGTTGGGAGTTATAAGGACAATCTGCTCAAGATGTCTGTCTTCTGTTGCTGCTGTGTACACAATCAAGGGGGCTCACGAAAATGATACCTCCCTCCCGGACAAGCTTCCCCATTCTGGACTTACGTGGGTTGGCGCTGTTGGCAAAGCGCTGTAAAACACGCCACCCCAAATATAGCCCCCATAGTATGCGCTACCAAAGACGCGTGACGCATGGATGCGTGGAGTGAGGATAGCTTACGGACGGAAACCTCACAGGTTGAGTGATGTAGGAGATTACCGGACACATAGACGTGTTGAGTGACTATAGCTTTATACTGAAACCCCAAGGGTTGAGTGATGTTGGAGTGCCGGACACATAGACGCGTTGAATGAGGATAGACACATACTGAACCTCACAGGTGATTTGTGATGGAGATTGCCGGACACATGGACGTGGAGAGTGAGGATAGGTGCATACTGAAACCTCACAGATGCATTGGTTTTTGAGTTTGCCAGACACGTTGACGCGTTGAGTGGGGATAGCTGCATACTGAAACCTCACCGATGAATTGGTTTTTGAGTTTGCCAGACACATGGGCGGGCTGAGTGGGAATAGCTACATACTAAAAGCTCACGAGTTGAGTTACCTTGGATGATTCTCCCTACCGTGAATACGTGGTCTACGCACCCCCTCTTCTTTCGGAAACCTGCCTGGCCCTCACTACTGCTATGTTCCTTCTCCAATACTCCCACTATCCTATCGTTCAGCAGCTTACAGAACTTTTTTCCTATTGTGTTCAACAGTGTGATCCCCCTGTAGCTTCCTGGGTCAGTCTTGTCTCCTTGCTTAGACAAAATCACAACCACTCCTTCCCTCCATCTACTTGGCGTATACTCGTTTTTCCACACCCAATTGTACAGCAGTACCATCAGCTGGATCATCCCCTTCCCCCCAAACTTCATGAACTCGTTGACTATCCCATCCGCTCCTGCTGCTTTGTGGCACTTCAGCTTGTTCACACACGCCTCAACCTCGTCCTCAGTGAACTCCTTTTCTAGTTCTACGTTCCCAACGTCTGCCTTCGATGTCTCTTC